CGACAAACCCACAGCCCAGCAGTGCACAGAACCGAACCCAGAGCTCCAGCACCACACCAGGCACTCGGAGGTGCCCAACGCGTGGGGACAAACTCAAAGCAAAGCAAGAGCCAGGTGTCTTCCATCGGGACTGGAGCATTTCCTGCCCGTTGAGGCAGGGCACGGCAACCAAAACTATATTAGGAAAACTTCACAGTTCCAGCCCAAGGAAAATGTTTCCTTTTGCGTCAAAAGCAAATGCACTTCACTTTGCCTCTCGCTTTTAAACTTTTAAATCAACATCACAAAAGACAGCAGCAAGCGAAGATGACTGTCAGCAACAAGTGCATTTGAGCGCTCCCTTTGCAGCGCACATATTTTGATTTTAAACCGAATGGGGGTTGGGTGGGTGCTCCCCAGCCTCGTTTCTGAATTCCGCTTCCTTAAGGTTGGGGCGCGCTGACATCACGATGCGCTGCTGCACGCGGACAGCAGGAAGCCTTCGAGGCGCTGTGCGCTCCAGAGCACCAGAGAGAAAGGGGGGCTGAGCGGAGCAGAACCACACTGAGGCCTTTGGGAAGCAGCAGCAGATCCACACGATGGCTTTGTGTAGCCTGCTGTTTCAAAGCAGGGGGCAGCACCAGCCAAAGCCTCGCGCAAGGCGCTCCGCACGACACTCGGGACTTCAGCACTTCACCTGTAGCTCCTCTGCTTCTCCTTGCTTCTCGGCAAGGCAGCGCTGCGCTCTGCCCGACGCACGCAGGGCCCGAGCAGAGCCCTGCTTCCAGGGCAGCGATGCGATGGTGCGATTGCGCCGTGAGTCACACACGGCTTGGAACTATAATAAGCTCCATCCACAAACAGCACTTCTCGCTCAGCCACCACACCCATAAAAACAGAGAGTGAAAGCCATGCTTCCCAAACCACAGCCAGCACGGCTGCACCTACCGCCGGCTCAGACCTTTGCTCTTCCAGGCAGGGAAACAACACGTGCGAAAACGCGACCTGCCTCTACCTGAACCCTTCCAAAGCCAGGCTGTGACAGGCAGCGAGGAAAATAAAGGGATCTGATCATCTGCGCGAGGGCTGAAGGGACAGACGCCCATCTGCTCGCTTTCCCTGCGCTCCCAGGCTGACATCCCAGGGAGCACACGGACCCGGCACACACATCAGTGCTTCCAGCACTAAGACAAAGTCTGCAGTGCCTCCAAAAGCACCAAAGGTAAAACATTTACCGCCGAAAGCTGACGTAAAACAACACAAACGTCAGAGAAAAGGCATGGAAGCAAAGCAGCCCGCAGCTCCCTGCGTTCTGCACTCAGGATGCAACAGCGGTCCTGGTTTGCGAGGAGTTTCGGTGCGGCTCCCAAAGGCTGAGCGGGGAGGGGATGCGCCCTGCTCCTCCATGGCAGATGCAGGGACTGCGTCACCGCTCCCTGCCCCGAGCAGCTCAGGCAAATTAAAAGAGACCACGGAAGAAATAAGAAGGGAAGGAGGGAAAATAATTAAGCACACGTCTGCTTCGTCACTTGTCTGTTTCAGAACATAGTGGGGAAAATAAAAATAAAAAAATCCAACACGCTTAACCAAATAAACGCTCCGCTGGAAATGGATTCAACCCGCAGCGCAGGGAAGATGGACCGTGGGATTCAAGATGTCAACTTTAAGGGGCTTCAATTTTCTCCTCCAAAGTGCTTTGGTTCCTCTGGGTGAAAACCAGCAAGCTGAGTGCTAATTCACAGAATCACAGGGGTTGGAAGGGCTCGTCTTCTTTTAAAGCAACGCATGTGAAACAAAGCCATCACCGCACATCTGAGACATCCACCAAAGCCATCTCAAGCTTTTGCTCATAAACACGACTGGATGACACTACAAAATGCACTGCAGACCCAGCGATGCTGGTAAAGAACTCAAAGCCCAGACCCAGGCACCCGCTGCTCTGCTGCCAGGGAGGAATCACCCCCCCGTTCCTGCCCTGCTTTACAAAGCTCCTGCAGAAGTTCCCCACGGCTGCAGCAAGGCAGCAAAGCCAGGTCTGAACTTTGGGAGCTCTTAAACAAAAACCTGCCCCACGCTGCACGGAGCAGCACTCGGCTCTGACGCAGCGCACGATGCAGGCCGCTTGCCTCGCTCTGCCCCGTCCCTCTGCAGCCTGGGTGCAAGCCTTGCCCATGGGAAAGCTCATGATGCAACCCAAGGCAAGCCAGGCAGGACTTTGGTGGCTTAAGCAGCCCAAACCTGCGCTGACCAAGCCCTGCTCTTTACCTGCTAAGCCTTATCAGAATAGCTACCAGCAAAATAAGCTACTCACATGGCTGTGCTCCAAGCACAGAGCGAGATGGAAAGCAAGGCAAAACTAACAGAGATGTTTGTTCTGGTGGTGTGAGGGGCAGACTGAGGTCGGGGTGGGTGCAGCACTGCGCTTTCTGCTCGGCACAGCCGCGCCTGAACCCAGATTCCCTGGGTCTTGAAGACAGAGCCTTGGAAGCCCCCGCAGGACTGCGGATCTGTGGCACAATCTGTGCTGCTCCAGGACACCACGCTGCCTCTAACAGAGGGAAAAAGCTCTCTTAAAAAAGAAATAAATGCTGTTGCTGAAGAAATTCAGAGCGCGAGGAATGCAGCAGTTCAGCAAGAGTTGCACTTCACACACCTCTGTTACAACTGTTTTCATGCGCTTAGCTTCTCTTAGGAGAGAGCTTTACCCTATTTTCATGGGTTACAATCACCTGCTTTCCTTTGCTCTAAATACAGCTGTACTAATTTCAACATCCAATGATTCTAAAGCTTGAGCTGCAGAACACAGAGGTGCAGCAGGGGAACGGAGCCTCAAAGCCACGCGGACGTCAGCTTCCAACGCAGAGCCGATCCTCTGCCTCCGCAGCTCTGCTCTGCACCCATTCCTCTTTTAAGAGGGTTTGTACTTTCCAGGTTAAATTCCAACCCCCGCCTTTCTATTTCCAAGCAGCCCTCAAAGCAAAGCAAGGGCTCACACTTCAAGAGCCCACAGCAGCGCCTCAACACGGAGCTGCTCAGCACCAAACACACGGCAGCGCAGTGAGCCCCGGCAGCAGGGCCACACTGCCACGAGCTGCAGGATGACCCGTCACAGCTCCCCTCCTGTGGCAGCCAAACATGAGGCACGTACCTAAAACAAACACGTGGAAACCCAGCCTGAGACAAATGCACCTGCTGAAATCAGGCCATGACTATTTCCAGCCCAGAACCAGGCTCCGCAGGGCCGAGCACTTTGCTCCCAGGGGCTGCAGGCAGGCAGAACCCCTGCACACCAGGCACAGCTGCTTCCTTCTCCAGTGAACCTTTCTGCGTCAGTATCAGTCGCTTGAAAAGAGGGGCTTGCAGTCTGCAGCACGGTCAGAGCCGAGGCACTCGTTGGAGGGACGCTCCCTGCCCATGCTGGGCAACGTCACATCGCGCCGTCACTGCGCCACATCCAGCAGCAGATATGGCACCAGCAGCTTTAGGAAGTTTCTCAGCTGCCAAATGCAGCAGAATAAAGGCCGTCAGCTCTCCTGCCCCATCCTACACTCTACGCTCCCACTGTCAGCTTCCTTTTTCAGCAGGAAAAAAAAAGTGCAGGTAAACACATTAAGTATCACTTCTGGTGGCCCACACCACGCACAACTTGAGACCACGCTGTCTCACATCACCACCTCAACTCTGTCCTCACACTCCTTTGGAACAGCAGCTTTGTCATGCCGCAACTATTGCCCCAAGGCCAGGCTGGATGTGGCTCTGGGCAGCCTGGTGGTTGGCAACCTTTACCTGTGGCAGGGGGTTGAAACTAGATGATCTTTGAGGTCCTTTTCAACCCAGGCCATTCTATGATCCTGTGAAGTTTGCCTTTACAATTAGTGCTGTGAGGCATTGGGCTTTAACAGCTTTTCCTTAAGAAGCATGAAATCCCAAGCAGCTGTGCTATCAGCATTTCACACTGCAGCTTGCTGCTCTCCCGAGGTCAGCGGGGGCCAAACACTGCGTGAGGCACAGGACGTCGGAAACCCAGTGCTGGGAGCCCAAAGCTTCAGGAGCTCAAGGCCTGGTGAGTGGAGCCCAAAGCCTGGTGCCTGGAGCCCAAAGCACAGCTTCAGGCGCCCAAAGCCTGGCGTCTCAAGCTCAAATCTGCAGCTCCAACAGCACCGAGCTCAGCCATGCTGAGAGCTGGGAACTCACACTGTGCTCGGACAGAAGAAATCCAGCACTGTCAGCAACCCGGCGCAAACAACTCCAGCCACCACGTTTGGACTTTTCCAGCTCTGCGCCCGAAGCTGACGATAGCACCGTTATTCACAAACCGCCCTGCGATTCGAGGCTGAAAATCGCACCCTGTGCCAGGTTGACACGCCGTGCCATCCATGCCCACGCTGACGGCACCCCCGGTTACCGCCCGTCCATCACCGCGGGATCCCTGCGGGTGCCGGGACTCAACCTCGCCGACCAGCGCCCTGCGGTGACCGGGCAGGAGGCGGTTCTTCTCCCGAGCTCTGGAGCCGAGAGTTCCACGGCCATTTATTTCCACTCTCCCGTCCTTCGACCACGGCGGAGCTCAACGCCGGCAGCGGCCGCAGGAAACGGCGGAACCGCGGAGCCGCGCGGGTCTCCAGGTTCCAGGGAGCGATGAGGCCGAGCGGCCGAGAGCGGCGGAAAGCAACAGAGCGCCGTTCTACGGGACGGCGCGGCACCGCCCGCACCCACTGGCGCTCCGTCCCGGCTCCGCGGGGCCGACCCCAGCCGCCGGGGATCGGCGACGGCGCGCTGGGTCTTCACGCCCGAATCGTGGCTAAAGGCTCCGGGGGGGGAGCGGCTCCGGCGCCGGGCCCCGCCCGGGATGACCCCCCCCACGGCCCTCCACCGCACCGGGCCGCACCGCGGGGCCCGGGATCGTTGGGAGCAGGGGGATCCCCACGGCCCCCCGACCCAACGGCGGCCGCGCAGAGCCGCTCCGCCGAGCCCGGCCCGGCCGCGAAGAAAACTTTCCCGAGCGCGGCGCCAGGGTTTACCTGCGAGCGGCTCCGTAGCGCTGCTCCGCCGCCGCCGAGGCCGCGCTCCCGGAGGGGCGGGAGGGGAGGGGACCGGGGGAAAGGGGAGGGGAGCGTGGTGCCGCCGCCGCCGCCGCCGCCCGCCCGCCCGGAACGCCGCGCCGCCCCCGTTCCCGCCCGGAACGCTTTCGGGGGCGCACGCGGCCACCCCGCGGGGCAGCGCCGGGCCAATGGCGGCGCGACGCAGCCCCGCCCCGCCCGCACGGCGCTTGCGCAGGGATTGATGGGGGGGGGGGTGAATGGGATGGGGTGGTGGAGGAGTCCTGCTGTGTGCGTGGGGCTGTGGCCCTGCACCGGGCCTTACCGTGTGTGGGGCCTTCGTGGGGTCTGCGTTTCTGTGCAGGACCTGTAAACTTGAGTGGGGTCTGTGCGTGGCCTGAGTGCGCCCCCTACTCTTCTCATGGGCCCTGTATCCCCTGCATGGGACCCGTACCCCTGTATGGAGCCTATATGGGACCTGTACCCCTATATGGAGCCTGTGTGGGCCTGTACCCGTATGTAGAGCCTGTGAGGGACCTGTACGCCTATATGGAGCCTATATGGGACCTGTACCCCTATATGGAGCCTGTGTGGGACCTGTAACCCTGTATGGAGCCTGTGTGGGACTTGTACCCCTATGTGGAGCCTGTGTGTGCCTGTACCCCTATAGGGAGCCTGTATGGGACCTGTATCCCTATAGGGAACCTGTATGGGACCTGTACTCCTATACAGAGCCTGTGTGGGACCTGTACCTCTATATGGATCCTGTGTGGACCTGTACCCCTATATAGAGCTCGTGTGGGACCTGTACCCCTATAAAGAACATACAACACTGGCAGGAAGTTCCCACTCTTTCCCATTCAGTTCTCACAGAGGTTCCTGTGTCTGCCGGAAGAACCCACAGCACACGGCCCTGCTGAGTTTCCCAGCCCCAGTCTTGTGTGGGGACAGCAGGGCGCTGAGTGGGCCGGGGCACGGTGCGTGGTGGGCAGCACAGCCCTGCTGCTACGTGCCTCACATTCCCCGTGCTGTGGGTGCTCGCGGCCAAAGGCAAAGCATGCTGAAAATGTGCGCTGGTGCTGCTGTTCAGAGCTGGGAGGATGCGCCCTCACAGAGCCCAATCAGAAGGGCTGGTGGCACTCGTGCCACTTGCGCGCTCCAGTTCTGCCCTGCTGCAGGAGCCTCCAGGTGGGAGTTTTGCTGCTCCGGTTCATCTCTCTCCATACACGTTTTCCTGGTGCAGCACAGTGGAGGTGGGGATGGGCTTCAGGGACTGGCGAAGGTCGGTGGCGAACCCCCACATGGGGCCCGTCATGTGCGGCATTCAGCTGATCCGGCACTGAATCACAGCCTTTGTTCTCCACCAGCAACCTAGCGTTGTTTATGCCTCTCACAAAAGGATTGTTTATCGTGTCGGGCACAGAAAAGTCCAGTAAAGAAAGAACACACTGTGCCCTGGAGTCCCGGCCCCCCAGGAGCCTTCCCCACCACCCCTCACTGCAGTGTTTGTTCAAAGCAGAGATCTTTCTGAGTGCCCCCCATTTCCCAATGCAATCAATAGCGATGTGTGGCAAAAAGTCCTGCTGCGTGTGCAGGCTTTGTGTCATCCTCCTCCTGTGCCGTTTCTTTCCAGCTGCTTGCAGCTATGGTGACAGGCCAGCAAGGCAGAGTGTTACATGAAAATGAAATCTTCCCTCTTTTCTGCCAGTTCTAATTTAAACTTTTCGGTTTCCATAGCTGGGATAACTGACTTTGTCAATGAATTTGCCTCTGTAAGTGCCACTGACAGAAGAGAGGAATGAGGCCTCCGCAGCTCTCATCAGCGATGCTGGCACTGCCCCGCTAGCCAAAACCAGGCAGGGGTACAGCCACAGAGACACCGGCCCCTTGGGCTTCTGACCCAGCTACAGCCGCTGCTGAACAGCCCAAGACCCGAGGAGAAGCTGGCCTGAAGGAAAGGCTCAAATGCTGGGGTTGCAGAGTGCCGCTGCACCAGCTTGTCTGAGCCCATCGACTCCCAGTTTGCCACTAACACCCTTCCTTGTGCCTTCTCCCAGGCAGCCTCCCTCATGCTTAAGAGATGAGCTCTGCCAGCAGCTGACAAGCGGTTCCTCCAGGCTTTCCCCTTTCCTTGTTTCGCAGGGCGCCCATCGAAGTCCTCCTCCAGGACTGAGGTCAGCGGTGAGCTCAGTCTGCGCAGACCCCCCCCGTCTCCCCATTCCTCAGTTTGTTGATGCTTTTCTCACATGGGTGGGTAAAGATTCTCTTGCTCTTCTCCACTGCCAAACCCCCATGCACCCTGCTCCTGGCCAGGACTTCTGGCAATCACACACTGCGTAAGGAGCGTCAAGCAACAAGTACTTCTGCAGGCAAAGGCAGCTGAGCAGCTCAGCTCCTCTCCTGCAGGAATGCAGCACAGAGCCCAGAGGCTGCTATGCCACGTCCTCCAGCAACTGCGCACCGTTCCACCGCCTGTATGGAGCCTATTCACCTCAGTGCTTTTCCTGGTACTGCTCTTCCAGACATGCGACCGTCTGCTTCCAGATGTCGACCCCGATTTCACCCAATGCTGTGACCCTGTCACTGCAATTCGGAGTCTCCATGGAGCAGGATGCTGCCAGACATCCAGCAATCACGGCTCCTTCTGTCAGCAGATGCTAAACTTGGAAGTGCAGGATGGTCCTTAAAATACATCCTGGCACCTGGGTGGGAATTGGGCCTGGCTGCAAAATGCAGAGCAAGGAAAGTGCTTTTTGGAGGAGAGTGCAGGCAGCAGGCGTGAGTCTGCCGAGACGACTCGATCCCACTGGGATCCAATCCCATTTCATCAGTGCAGCGCTCTCAGCGTGGGGCACAGTGATGAAGGGCGACAAATGCTTTTCCAGCAGTTTGCCAGATGACTTCAAGTGACATTACTGCAGCGTCACCTGCACAGCAGTGCTGTTTCGGGGGCTCTGACTCTGTACAACCCTGAGAGAAACTGGTGTGAACCCGCAGCATGGCTGCTTCTTCGCCCACCCTGCGTGCAAAAGCAACCCTGAGCAGAACGCAGGTCTGCATGCCGGGGTAACAACACAAAATGAATGGTGATGGCGGGGCAGCTTCCAAATTTGCTCACCTTCTGCCCTGCCAGGCTGGCAGGAACGGCACGATGCCATCCCTGATGCCAGGCGCCGCGGCCCTTTGCAGGACAGCACGGTTCTGTTCTGCCGCTCGCTGTGGTGCCGCCGCTCTTCCAGCAGCGTGATGCGAGCTGCTCAAAGCTGCGTGGAGTCTCACCCACCTACGCCAGCGCTGCCCTGCCCTCCAGCCCTCCAGAGTCCGTTTATGGATTTTATTTCATTTTATTTCTTTTCCCGTTTGGATGAAAGCTTTCTCAGAATTTCCTGGCTGGAAATGTCACCGCAGCTCCTGCACAAGTCGCTCCTCAGGTGCCAGATAAACGATGGTGCTTTGCACTTCTGAAGAGTCTTTCATCTGAGGATTTCGGAGGACTTCAATGCATTAGCCCTTCCAACAGGTCCTGCCTTTACTCCGTTCACTTTTTATAGATGTGGGTGCAGCCCTCAGTTCTGGGAGGTTTGTGGACCCTTTGCGTTCCCAATGTGTCAGCTGCAAGGTGGGTGGAGGGCAGCAGGATTCCCAACATCCAGCCCCAACGAGCCATAGCAGAAAGTAAAAACTTCACTTTGGACAGCCCAGTGCCAACTGCTGCTGTGAGAGTGCGAGGTCTGAGCAGCACCGTGTGTGCCCCTATTCAGAGCACGAGCAGAGGAATGGTACAAGATAAATCGCTCTCACTCAGTTTCTTTGTGATGAAAGCAGAGCCTTCAATTTGCTGTTTGGGTTTCAGCTGTCAGAAATCATGCGAGAGAGAAAAAAATGCAGGGAAATGGAGGAGTGAGGCAGTGCTGGCAAGAGCTTTGCTTTGGGAAACCCCAAAGGAGAAGTCAAATCTGAGCCGACTCTGGGTCTGGATGGACCTGGTGCACCCATGAACCGTTCAGTTTAACTTTGTGACAGCTGGGGTGGGCCGTCTGGTTCTTAATGCCTTGAAAATTCAAACAAACAAACAAACAAACAAAACCCCACACGTTTTAAAACAAATTAAAAGCCCATAAAAACAGAGGCAAACAGAAGCCTTGGGTCACATTTGTCTTGGAAACTGAAAATCACCACCCCTTCTATGAAGAGCAAGGAAGACAAAATGCGTCCATGGCTTTTGGCATGGAAGCCTCTGCTGGCTGCTGCTGCTGTCGAGCCCCAGGTGCCCTGAGGTTCACACTGAGTTTCCTCCTTTGCGAGCACCACAAATCAGTGCTGCTCCCCGGCCTCGGTTCAGCCACGCTGCACTGGGAGCAGCCTCCAGGAGCTGACTCTGAGCTTCCAAACTCTTCCAGCTCCGCAACAGCGATCCTCAGTCCTCTGGCAGCACGGAGCATCATCACACAACGGGCAAAGCAGAGAGGTTTTCTGCTTCTTCTGAAGCTTCAGCCGTCGATCATCGGCAGAAGGAATCGGCCATGTGTGCAGCACAGCACGGGGTACCAAAGCACAGCTAAAAGCCTGCCGTCCTTCCAGCATCCCCAGCAGCCTCACAGCATGACAAGCCAGCACCTCTGCAGCACTTTGCATCACGGATGCAAAGGGAGATTAAAGTACGGCCCTGACTGAGTGCAATGACTCGCCTGGATTTGCTGGGGGACGTTAGGATAAAGCAGTGGAGTGCCATAAAGAGGATAAGGGATTGGAGTCAGCGAGGATCAAGACAGAGGAACAGATGGCGAGCGCTGCCAAGACGCCGGAGAAGCGAGCTCAAGGCACGGGCTGCTGTCAGCGCTCTGAGCAGCGCTCATCCAGCAGCAAAGAGAAATTCTGACAACAGAGCGTGGGGATCTGGGGCACAGAGTCCTTTCGGCTTCACTCGGCCTTGACCAGTTGGCTCTGGACTGACTTGTGAAGATGTCTTCAAGGTGACGGAAGGCTTTTCTTGCCTTAAAACTCACTGGTGTTTTTC